GGCGAGATCCCCCTCCCCCTCCGCGGCGGCGTCTACATCCGCAACGGCGCCAATCCCCTCCATCCCCCTCCCTCCGGCCACCACTTCTTCGACGGCGACGGCATGCTCCACGCCGTCACCTTCTCCGGCACCGCCTCCTACGCCTGCCGCTTCACCGAAACAAAACGCCTCCTCCAGGAACGCTCCCTCGGCCGCCCAGTCTTCCCCAAATCCATCGGCCAACTCCACGGCTGCGCCGGAATTGCCCGCCTCGCCCTCTTCTACACCCGAGCCCTCCTCCGCCTCGTGGACCCCTCAAACGGCACCGGCGTGGCCAACGCCGGCCTCGTCTACTTCAACAACCGCCTCCTCGCCATGTCGGAAGACGACGTCCCTTACCACGTCCGCCTCACCCCCTCCGGCGACCTCCACACCGTCGGCCGTCACACCTTCAACAACCGCCTCACCTCCAACATGATCGCCCACCCCAAAATCGACCCCATCTCCGGCGAACTCTTCGCCCTCTCCTACGACGTCATACAAAAACCCTACCTCAAATACTTCCACGTCTCGAAATCCGGCGAGAAGTCGCCGGACGTCGAGATCCCCACCTCCGACCCCACCATGATGCACGACTTCGCTATAACCGAGAACCTCGTCGTCATACCTGACCAACAAGTCGTCTTCCGGCTTGCCGAGATGGCCTCCGGCGGGTCCCCCGTCGTTTACGACGAGAACAAGGTCTCGCGTTTTGGCGTGCTCGGAAAGTACGCTCGAGATGCCTCGGAAATTAAATGGGTCGACGTGCCCGATTGCTTTTGTTTTCACCTATGGAACGCGTGGGAAGAGCCCGACTCGGACGAAGTTGTTGTAATCGGCTCGTGCATGACACCGGCCGACTCGATTTTCAACGAGTGCGACCAAGGCTTGGAGAGCGTCTTGTCCGAAATCCGACTAAACCTTAAAACCGGGAAATCCGTGCGGAAACCCATATTGTCCGAAACGGATCAAGTCAACCTCGAGGCGGGTATGGTCAACCGGAACTTGCTCGGTCGGAAGACACGGTTCGGGTACCTCGCGATAGCCGAGCCGTGGCCCAAAGTCTCGGGTTTCGCAAAAGTCGAGCTCTGGACGGGTAAAATCAAAAAGTATATTTACGGAGACGACAAGTACGGTGGGGAGCCAATGTTCGTGCCCACGGGCGAAAGCAACAAGCACGAAGACGAGGGTTACGTGTTGGTTTTCGTGCACGATGAGAAAAACGGGACTTCCGAGCTCCAAATCGTGAACGCGAAGACTATGGAGTGGGAGGCGAGCGTGAAGCTGCCGTCGAGGGTGCCCTACGGTTTTCACGGCACGTTCGTAAGGGCCGAGGATTTGGCGAATCAAGCGTGATTTTAACTTTTTACGGTTACGGTTAAGGTTGAACTTTTTTCATTTTTTTTTTTTCATTTTACAGTGGATAATTTACAGGAGAGATTGTCAGTAAATGCATCCCCCGGTGCTTATATCCACTGTTTGTTTTTCTCAAGTAACAATAATAGGTTATGTGAAAGGGTTTTAGGGGACCAGCTTGTAGCTCTGGAATATGGAGGCTCAGCTGGGTTTTTTCTCTTTCACATGATGCGTTGACACAATTTTATGTTTGTATTAGCTGAAATGACAATATAAGATTTTGGTTATTTTCATGTTTTTTGTGTTCGTACTAAAATTGCTGTTTTCCCCTGTTCGTACACCCTGTTTCTGTACTAAAATTCTCTAGCCCAAGTTTGTGTGGATTTTTGTTTTTTAAAAAAGGTGGGAATTGCAAGTTGAAATAAGTAATTGGAGCAAGTTGAAATCTTTAGTTCTTTTGGATATAAAGTTCAATAAAGCTACTCTCTTTCTTTTTGTCCTTAATTAATCAGAACTTCATCTTCATCTTTGTATCACTTTATCCATATAAAGAGGAATTTAATAATAAGTTCATCCTCATAGTTCCTTATTCAACAGATATATTTAGATTCAAATTAAAATATTCGTATTCTAAAAACTAACTTAAACAAAATTATGAGAATTTATAGGATAAGTATACATATTTTGTTTAAAAAATTATGACAGTCGGTCCGCGGAACAGTAAATATTACATTGATTCATATTCTATTTGTTTCTCAATTTTGGTCCTTTACACTTCTTCATTTTTACTTTTATAGTTTATGTGGTTTGCAAATATTTGAAGCAGGGGCACATGATTGGTGAGAAAAGGATCATAATGCAAATATGCAATCATCAAGTCATGTTATGTGCAATAAATGTCAAGGTTTTAGAATTTATGTGACCAATCAAGCCTTCCATCTTTTCTGGACATGCCGACAAACCTGTCGTTTCCATAAATTTGTTACAAAATAGTAATAAAATAAGAATAGTACTTGATATTAATTAAATTATTGAAACGGGGGATAATTATGGTTAATTTTTAAAATATTGGTATGATTAGTTGTTAGTGAGATTTTGAGGTTATATTAAAATAATATTTAAAATAAAATAATTAAAGTTTATTTGATATAAATGTATGAGAGAAATTATGTGAATTGATAGTTAGTTAAGATTATGCGAGTGGATGAAAAGTAAATTAAATTGATATGATGTATAAGAATGATTGTTTGATATTATATAATTATATTAATAATATTGAATATAATGAAGCTGAGTTCAAGTTTGAGTTAAATTTTGAGTATAAATTGAATAAATTTATAAACAATCACACCCTAGGGAATTTTTTATATCCGTCCATTTATCTAATATTTTTTGAAATGAGGTTTAGATTATGAATATGATCGACTTTAGACAACTTATTTAGAGGTTTTGAGGAATAAAAAAGCTGATTAACTTATTTGATGATGAATTTATTTAATTTGCTTTTTGAATCGACCAAATTAACTAATCAACTATTTATCATACCCTTGTTTGACAACTCGTAATTGAATCGGTTAGTCAAAAGCTTGTAAGTTCGGCTCGTGAGTTTAACTTATTTTAATATACGAATCGAGCTAAAGTAATAGTTCAATGAAATAAGTAAAATCTCTGAATTTGTTTTTCAGTTATCTGTAGCTTTTGCAAAAATTAACATTTTTGGTACAAAATTGTGTGGGATTAATAGTCTAGTGTGAAAGACCAAAGGGGCAATTATCAGCTGCCTGTGCAGATCTTTGGATCTTTGCCTTCTCATCAGTGATTGGCTTCACTTAGAAAATATATAAAGAAAAACGTATTTTAATAATAAAATGTTAAACTAATACTTCATAAGTTTCGAGGACCAACGTAATTTACAGCCTTTTCTTTCATCACCATAATGAAAGAAACAATTTTTTTATGAAGAAAAATATTAAATTGAGAAATTATGATAAAATTTGCAGCTTTAATTTTGCTCCCATTTCATAAGTTGCATGCATCACAAAATTTGAGGCAGGATAGCTTTCTAGCTAAGTATTTCATGAGTACTTTCGTGGAATTAATGTGTGACCCCATAACTGTATTACTAAAAATGCAAATAATAGTAATAATTATATAATACGTGTGTAGTCGAAGTCTGTTTGATGAAAAAAATGATAATTTTTTAGTGGAAATGTGCATACTTTCACGGTTTTAAATTTATATGTTATGACTTATGACTCGTACAAATAAAAAAGAACAATTTTTTTTGAATGGAAGATTAAATGCAATTTTATTTTTTTATTTGAAATGGTCGTGTTTTAATTAATCAAATAATATAGTAATCTGTATTCAAATTGTGATAAGTTTGATTTTTTATTTATTTGGCCTTTTAAAAATACCACTTAAATATGAAATTATTTAAAAAAATATTGGTGATATTCATTTTATAAAAGTAATCATTGCCGGCGTAGAAATAATAATGTATGTCTAAAGAAATTATATAGAACTAACGGAATGGATTCATTTTATAATAATAGCTATATTGACACATGTTTTAATCTAAATATTTTTAAATACCTGTTAATATACATTTGTGGGTGAATAATTATTGGTAACTTCGAGTTCTTCTTCGTTAGAATGCTTAGCAAAAAAAGAGTAAGTTATTACATAATTCGAAAATCTAATACTTTCTCTATATGAATATATTTCCTTTGGTATCACATCAAAGGTAAGGATAATTAATTAATTATCAATACATAATAATTTCTACGGATTTGACTAATAGAAAGGGAAGCCTTTCTCTAAGACCCTGACGTCTTTCAAGTTTCAACTTGCACAATTAAATTATTTTAAATCAAAATATAATATTTATAACAATTTTTTTTAATAGAATATGTCACCAGCAGTTCCAAACTGATGAAACATGACGAACACGATGATGTAGTTGTACAATAACCGTTTAATATTCTAACATTATTCGTGCCTACGAGACCAAATTTCATTTGTCAACCACTACAACTAAATATGGTGACTTTTTTTAATAAGTATAATTAAACTAGATGTGTTTGTGACGCTTTTTAAAAAACGTTAAAAAAAAAAATTATAACAACACTTTTTTTAAAAAATGTAATCAAATCATGCTGCCTTTTAAATAGTATCACCGTGTTAACCAGTATTGAGACATTTATTTAAAAGTGTAATTAAATTATGACATTTTATACAAAAGTGTCGTCATGTTTATTTATATGGCGACATATTTTAAATACTGAATTAAAATAGTAACATATTTTTAGAAAATGTCACAATATTTACTAATATGACAACATTTATCTCAAAGTTTAATTAAGTTATGACACTTATACAATTGTGTCCTATTTTGTTATAGTTAACTATAATGTAATGTTATCCTGTTTGGCGCCTAGTCGCCTAGCGCCTAGCAAATTCAATTAGCAGATAACACACATTTGGTTCAATTTTCAGTTTGACTATGGAAAAATAACTAAAATTGCAATCTTATTATTCCCACAAGGTCCTATATTGAGCTTAATGTGCCGAAATTAGTTTATTGGATCCAAAAAAGTGTTTCAAATTGTTATTTATAACTGGTCAAACTTTTAATTCGGCCCCAAAAATGCTAATCACTAAACAAAGTGACTTATCACAGATTTTTGTGAGAGGCCGATCAATTAATCGTAATGGTCTATCCAACATAATTGTTTAACAATAAATATTTATTTATTCAATGAAAAGGAACCTTTTGAAACTTGTGAAATCGTCACAGGCTATCAAATGATGTAAAATCTAATCTATTAAAACGGTTCTATTAAATTGTTAATATATATGTGTGTGTGTGTGTTTTTTTTTTTCCAGAAACTGTACTGTTAATTGATTCTAACCAAAAGGCAAAAGGTCCCTACATTCTCCGGAATTTTGTCTGTAAAACAATTGGCCTCAAAATGAATTGTTTTATATTTTCTATTGGGTAAAAAGGGTGGCACGGTGGCCTTTTAGTCTCCAAAAAGGGCGGAAAAAAAAATAGCATTTGTTCATCGATTACTGAAATAGAAGCATATTTTGTGCTTTTTGACCCTTTGGCAAATTTATTTAATTTGGCTGATGATTGAATATATGTGGTTTAACATGAGACGTGTTGCTTTCTTCGAATTGAGTGAGACTGAGAGATAACATTTTAAATTTCATCAATTTATTGTGTGAGGTATTTTAAAAATTATTACACGGTTTTTAAAAAAAAATGTATAATTATACCAAGAAATGTTGTATTTTTATTAATATTATGTTTTAAATAATATCACTTGTGTATGAAAGTATGCATATTAGTTAAAAAGTACAACTGCCTAACAACAACTTTATTGTTAAGTTTTAAATAGCATTTATGTACTATATTTAAAAGTGAGGTTAGGCAGGCTTAAAAGTTAAGCGGTCGAAATTAAAGAATTCATGCATATGGGGTATTTATTTATAGAAGCAAAAAATCATCCCAAAGAGATTCAAATTCCAAAAAGAACGTTTTTGAAAGCGTTTCATGTGAAATAATGTTCTATATATTGAAATTTTAATATTTTATTAATTATTATATTTATTTATTTATGGAGATGAATTTAAGATAGAAAAAGATATTTATTAATAAAGTAAATATTTATTATCTACCAAAAATCATAGGATAATGAAAAATTTTAGAATAAAGAAAAAGATTATATTAAATCATGAACACTAATCAAATTGATGTCATATTCTTCAAAACTCGTAAAATTCATTGTTACAAATTTGGCTTGTCTGGTGGAACTTGAAATAAAAGTTATTGTTACAATTTCAATACACTTAATTAAACTTTAAATAATATTTATTGTTACAAATTTGACATACTAAGATTTTAAATAAACTTTAATGTTACAAACCGCCGTTCAAATCGATCAGACATCTTGATGTGAAACAACTGCGTGTCCACGTGCTACTCTCCATCA